TTGAAGGCGCGCTCTGATTGGCTAGTCAAACTCCGAATATCCTTTGCTATTTACCTCCGAGCAACGCGGGAAAAAATGGCGTCCCGGTTTGCATCCGTGACAAGCGAAGAAATCACTCAAATTAATTTTTGGTGGTGTATATTATTTCACTGTTTTAGTATATACTAAAACAACTATTCACCTCAGTGTCGGTGGTTAGCGGTAAATATCCATCACTAACCACCTCCACTTCGGTAAACAGTTGTTAATTATCTGGTAGATAGCGCAGTAGGTTTTGTTTATCAGTCACATAGCGTTAGCCGCCCTTTGAACAAATAAGCCCTGGTGATTAAAAATGGGTCAGCAGGGAGAAAACAACCAGAAAATTCATCCTACAGAAATAAGTTGTAGGATTAAAGTCGTTACTAAAAGGCTTACGCTTGTTACTTTTCGAAGGATTTCGACTGAAAACCGAAAGCTTACGTTTCAAACAATTTCTAATTACAGGACATTGATGCAGGATCACTATTAATGATGCCAACAATCTCAATGTGTTTCATTCGTTTCGCGGTAGAGATATATTTACTACCAAAAACAAACACGTGCTTGTTTGTATCTGTGCGTATGATCAAGAAGTTCGTTATGAGAAGCATACCTGAGAAAGTCCTGAAAACTGCTCACTGAGATGTGCCGCGGGAGACAGGGAACTAGAGGCGAGTGCCATCGCATACGAGTGTCCCGAGTGGGCTACAGACATCGCCAAGTCTGAAGCGAGCAGATTAACGAGCGTGCGCAAACGCTCAAGGTCGTTTAATGTAGGTCTGCAATAATTTTAGACAAAAGTAACCAGTAAATAATTCTCCTCAAAACATTCAGGTAGAAAGTCAAATTTAAAGCACCAACCTGGAAAAGATTTCTGCCCACAAGTAAAACATGTGAGGAAGGTTCTTGTCAAGACAGTGAGAGGCAAAGGAAAGACCCTGTTCAAATGCGTTAACGTGACTGTGGTGAGAAGACACGTGTGTAGATAGACCCATGCCTCCCGTCCTCATCTCTATCAGCTGGGACAATTCACGGAAGCTGAGGTTACCAGCGCCCATTCTACAACCAAGAGAAGTTTCATCGTTAAAAAAAAAAGTAAAAAAGAAGAAGAAAAAAAACCATTGTCGCCATTTCACGAACTTTGTCTACAGATCGCGTTTTTACATTAATGAAAATCCTGTTAGTTCCCAATAAGACATCGCTGAAGAACTCACTTTGTTAAAATGAAGCAGAAGAGAGGCAAGTATTGCCGTAAATCCTCGGGTATATCAGTAATGCTGGAGATCGCATGAAAATATGTAATCCCATTGGTGGGCTGTTCACAGTCCTGCACAGGAACTCCAGCTGCAAGCAGAATACACGTCACAATAACTTCTTCAGTACCATAGTCTTGTGACTCTTCAAGTATTCGATGGTTTAACATGTAATACGAGCGGACATGTTGCTCATGGTTCGTACCATATCGTAGACCACCGCATAAGGTATATCTACTGAGTTATACCGACTTTTTTCAGTAACGTATGATGCACGATCCTCGCAGTAGAAAGCGCTATTTATATAATAGCGAAAATTTCAGTAAGTCAGTAAAACATTTTCACACGTTACTTCAATAAAAAATACCTAAACACATTAAAGCGTCATATTGTTATTAACCTACCGGATATATAATGTTCCAAATCAACTGGCTTAACCTTGGAATCAATATCTGTAAATGAAAAACGATTAAAAATAAAAAAAGATTGTCAACTTATAGATAAGTTCAAAAAGGTAACTTTCTTGGAACTCAGCAGAGGGAATAGAAGAAAAGAACCACTTGCCAGAAATCGCCATCTTCGGTAGACAGGACACATCTTCTGTAGCATTCTGTTGTTCGGCCAGTTCAATACCTGATGATGAGCAAAGCAAGTGGCTATAACCAACTACACTCGGAAAACGAATAACGAAGGGGGTACTAACATGTAGAGGCCAAGAGGCCACTGAACTGACTTTGAATTGAACTTTTGGTTATGGTAGGCCATGTTTTATCTTTCTTGTCTACTCACGTTCTTCAGCTGTAGGTTGAGTACATCTTTCAGGAGTTGGAGGTACAAGATGCCAAACCTCATGACGAGTTGAAAAAATAAGCATACCTTTTTGAAAGAGGTTTATTTTATCTTCTTGAGATAAACAGCTAATTTTGCTTTGTAACTTTTCTTTTTCTTTCTTGTTCAGTTCTGTCTCATACTCTGGCTGTTTTGAAGGTAAAAAGAAAGAAAAATTTAAAAATTTGAAAAAGTTTTAAAGACTTCTGGCTGTTAGTCTGCGTCTGGTGATAAAACTTCTATAACTGAAAAAACCCTTTTACCATACCAAGAAAAATGCTGATTAATTATTTCTTCATTTTTAACTTTTTTTGAACATCTACCTCTATGTTACCAGCTCACGAAAACAATTGTTTCCAGTGAACGAGCTTCAAAGCACGTCCAATAAAGCATAAGATGGCAAAATTACCGCGGAATCATTTGTTGAAATTCTATCTAAGAGAGAGTATTCTTGCAGGTTTTATAAGTATAGGTAATCACATGATTTCGAGTGCAATTTGGAATAAATAAGCACGAGTATATTTTTTCAAAGACTAACAAAATTGCATGAGCCCGTAGGGCGAGTGCAATCCGTGGTCTTTGAAAAAATTTACAAGCACTTATGTATTCCAAATTGCACGAGAAAATCATGTGATTATCTATTAATAATATACATGAAAAAATACGAGGTAGCTTCTCATAACTACGCAGAAGAAAAGCGCGCGCATCACGTGCAAAAACAATTTCTTCAAACCCTGCAAGTGACATTGACCGTGACATTGACCTTGACCTTCACCTTCACATTGACATTGACCAATCATTCTGACCAATCAGAATGTCTGGTTTGTTTCTTTCTT